ATATTTACATGATTTCATTAAAACTGACAAAATTAATGATGTAAGTTTTAAAAAACCAAAACTTATACATTAACCCTCCCTGTGGTTTGCTTCCTCGTGGAAAATCATTCCGAAAGCGCTAACTTTTATTTCGCCATCTCCTTCAAAAATGCAACAGACTTCATTCCTTTCCCCCGTTTAAAACTTGGGAGGTCGAACGGGGACAATTTTATGACTTAGTTCGGCTTCTTTGTCAATAACGAACCGGGAAATCACTCGTTTACAGCTAGCTGTTAAGTTGCCTTGGACAATCTTGTATGAAAGTTGCAGTTCCACTTGGTTGTTTTCCCGATATGTTCAGTCACAGTAAAATTAAAACAAAATGAAGGGTAAAAATAAATAAATAAATAAATGAAATAAATGGCGTGTTAGAAGTTGAAAAATAATTATATTTTCTTCAAACAAAATTTATTTTTCTGTCATTTTTAAAAATTAAAAAAAAAATTGAAAAAAAAATTATTTTTGTATTGCGATTTGAACCAGAAAAAAGTATCCTGTATTCATTTTTGAATATGAGAGTAAGAAAACGTGCTCACTTTCCTGTTTTTTAAAAAAAAGTAATGAGGTAAAAAGAGTATATAAAAGCCCTATCTCTTTTTTTAAACAATAAGACAATAAATGGTGCGTAAGGTGATATAAATACGATGATTATATTTATGAAATAAAACCGATCTTTCTCTATTCAATTATATTTTTAATTTAAAATAACATAAAAAAGAGTTTCAATACTTTTAATTTATTTAAATTAAATCATGTAAATGATATTTTTATGTTAAATGAATATTTTTCGGAAAAAATCTAAATTTTCATTCCTAGTGCTCTCCTTTTCGAACTTCTTGTATTAAATAAAAATATCTTCTCTACATCAGCATTTGTGATGGACATAACACACATTAAGTCAATAATTTTTAATTTTAATTGGGGATATACTTTTTCTTCAAATGCGCGTGACAGTACTTCTAACCATTTTCTACTCAAGTTTAATTTTTTATTTTTCTGTTTCTTTTATTACAAGGAAAATTGTCACACATCGATAACTACATTTTCACACAATTCAGTCATTACAAATTCTATATATTGTGAGAAAAAGTTCTCCCCAATTAATTTTGTCTTTCAAAACAGTACACTTAAAACAATTTTGTTCAGTGAAGTTAACCAACAATTCCACAATGTATCCATACCAAATTTTAAAAACAATTTTAAATTTTGGAAATGTATCATGTATTAAATTTTTTGAGTATACACAAATATTGCCTGCTGTGGGGAAGACATAGTACGAGAGGTGGTATATGGTTTTGAAAGCATGTTTTCGTACGCGTAGACCATTTTTGAAAATTTAAATATCACTGAAGCTGATCATATAACTGCAAATTAGCCTTATTTTAGTGTGTGCTAGTGTCAAAATAAAACACTTCACTGTTAAACAGCCCATGAGTTTATATTCAATATCAAACTATTCGCAAAATTGCTTACAACTTCTATTCAAATTGTAAAGAAACTGAAATATAAATATATCTTACTGAAGTCAAAAATATTCATAATATGTAAAAATTCTATTCCTCCACTTATTTCAGTACATTTTAAAAACTGTAGCTGAAAACAATTTTTTATATTTATAAACGAGGCATAAAAACTCACACAGTTATAAAAATGTCTATATCATTTTTAAATATACTACTATAGAACATACATGGATTGTAAGATCAGTTCTAAAATCCTAAAAGCTTTTAGAGGAGCAAAAAACATAATTTTGGATAGATCAAAATTTTAATATAATACACAAATATACATGCTATTAAGCAAATACATTTGAAAAATCAAAGTTCCTTCTGAAATAAACGTAATTGAAAGAAAAATGTTTAATTTGCAAATGATTGGAAATAAATGTTTATCTAATGGGTATCCCCAAAGTTAGGCAATCCTCAAACTTAAAACTCAAACTCAGTGGCACAACAGCCCATGAAGGTCAGGAACTACTATGCCCATCCCAGTATACGTGACCATTGGGCGCTGAGGTGCATGAGCAGATGTCCCGATTAGGTGGTCTGTCTGAAGTGATACCTCCAGTGTTTAAGACCCCAAGCAAGCTTGGTACTCATTTATCGACACACTGCAGAGGGGATGAAAGGCAGAGTCAACCTTGCCCAGCCAGTTAATAGAACCCGAACCTGTGGTGTGGAAGCACGATACACTACCACTCGACCCTATTCGATGAAAAATAAAACTTAATGTTGGAATCTTATACAATTCCCTAATGAATGAGGGAGTCCAAACTTTTTTTCTTCATGTAAACTGTTCGGACGAAATTGGTTAAATATGAACATTTCACAAGTTGTGCATAAATTAAAATTAACCGTTATAGTCTATATAAATTTTTAAGAGTACAAAGGGTGTATTTTGGCTGCACGCATTAACGGTTACGGAGTACGGTTACGAAAAAGTAGTACAAATAAATCTAAAGTAGGGTTGGTTACCTTAGATATTTTCAAACACAACAAAAGGTATTAGAAGCCAATTCTACAATTCATTGTTATAAAAATGTGTGGAAAATTACAAGACTTATTTTTGCATTTGTAATTTTTATATTTTTTCCCTGAAAACTTTAAAAGCTAGAGCGGCATCAATCAAAACCGCAGGTCCCTCTCTGTTTTCCCAGTTCGCCCCTGCCTAAGTCGGCTCTGCCCTAGTAAGTGAAAATACCGTGTTTTGATTGTCAAGATCATTTTATTGCAGACTACATTTTTCATGTATTTTAGATGGTCGTTTTACGTTTTCTATATCAATATCTTAATGTCTGAATTTAAAATTACATAAAATTCTTGAATTTCGCAACAATGAACATTATAATTTTTATTAGTATATGAATGCGTCATCAAACGATTACATGACTAGCATTAATATATTATTTTGTGTGACCATTTAATTAATATTAAGTATAACATAACGCACAAATTTTCTGAACTTCAAAATAAATATTTCGAAAACTACTTTAGATATATACTCATAATTTTTCATTCCTATGGTTTAGCTTCTCTCAGCTTTGCTTTTATGCAAAAATTTATTATATGTTCATCAATATTTTCTGCTCTTAACATGCAGTTTTCAACCGAATTGTATGACATTTTCGAACTATATTAAAAAATACTAAAGATGCTATGTATTAAAATCTGAATTTTTATTATACTCAAAGAATTTTTAGTACTTATGGTAAATAATTTTTAACTGCCCAATACATTTTTTTTTCAAAATTTCAAATGAAATTTTTAATATCTTCCTCATTTTAAATTTTTAATATCAAACTTCCTCCTAGCTTTATACGGTCGAGATTTCAAAAAATATCCAGATTGTAATTACTTATTCAGTTAGCCTTTAAAAAAAGATAAATGTTGAGGTATTTTGGATAAATAGATATTTTTGAATAATAATTTGAATGTTTTTGAATAGCTCGAATTTAAAATTGATCTTTATGTTTATTTATATGCATATATGTATACTGTAAATGTTTCCGTATATTTTTGATTACCATTTATTCAAACATTCAAGTTTTAAGAAAAAAATGTGGGAAAACCTTAATTCATGTTCTCTTTGATGTAAACTGAAGTTCAAGCACTTAAAATTCAAATATAATTCGGTGTATTTTAACAATATATAACTAAGTACTGTATGGTAACTTCCCTGAACACCTGGCTTTGAAATCTTTAAAAAAAAACCTAATAAATCTGAATTAGGGTTTTTTTTTTTTTCTCGTTATTATTTTTATCCAAGTGTAAGAAAATGTTTCAAATTATTTGATGAAGTTTAAATGTATTCATTTTTAGTAGTTGGAAAGTTTAAAAGGTTTCAAATTTTAAAGTGTTCAGTGTTTTATTATTTATTTATTTATTATTTTTTTTTATTTATTTATTTATTTTTTATTTTTATTTATTTATTTATTTATTTTTTTTTTTTTGACATTTTATAATGAAATAATCATGTTTCAAAAACTGAAAGCATTGATTAAGATAAGAAAAATGAAGCGAAAGAATATACTTAAAAAAGTAATTTGTCTAACAATATAAAATAGCAGATTGCCCTGACACGCCCCAACTTGTTACAGTTTTAAATTAATATGAAACCAAAAGAGAATTATAACATATTTTACATCTGCGTTGGGAATTTTCAAAACTTTTCTCAAATCAAGCTAACAAACACTTCCTGGGATCTAAAGAAATTCTTCCCCGATTTTTTACGATTGCTCCAGGGTCAGAGAACACGGGTTCCCTGCGAGTCATAAAACTTCCTATAAGTATCCTGTTGTGTGGCTTCCACCGTCCCTAATTATCTTTCAAGATGTTAAACCTTTAAAGGGGGGAAAGAATTTCAGAAAAATACGTTTCAACCGCTTTTGAGAACCATACTTGAAGGCGAAAAAATACGTGCGGCGCATTTTCGAAGCCTATTTACAATGACGGGATTTTACGTGTGAAACGCTTGGAGAGTTAAACCAAAAAAACCGATATTCATGTAAAAATGGAAAATAAAGGTTAAGACAAAAGTTTTAGAGAAGTACATAAAAAAAAAACTTTTTTTACACATAAAAAAAAAATGATCAATTGATTGAGTTTGATTTATGTTGCACTCTGGAGCAAAGGGACTTCAACTGAATGACAAGGACAACACTTGAGCTGGCACCCTACTCTCCAAACTTCCAAAAAATACCTAGAGGAGAACTTTTGAGCCTTAAAAGACTTAATGTGCATCAGCCCCTCAACACAATGGACCTTCAGTAATACTAACAAGGGTAGGGCATGACTAAGGAAATTCATTTGGGGTCGAGAGAGACTTGGTATAATAGTAGTACTCCTTTAGGATGTTCAACCCTCAATGTAATTCCGCCAAATAACCAGTCAATTCGGAGAAAATAGCCTTCGAAATTCATGCTTAGTTTTTATACGGTTAAGTATTAATTTCTACCGATGATGGGATAGCACAGTTAAGTAGGGCGCCTGCTTTATATGCAGGGGGATATGGTTCGAATCCAGCGGTGAACTTTTTTTTCCTATTCATTTAATTATTTTTTTTAAATAAACTTAGTTATGAAAAGTTTATTAAATATTAAATGATATTTTATGTAATGATTTTGTTTTTTATAAAGTAAAAAAAATTAAATTATTATTAATTTATTTAAATTACTATTTATTATTTAAATTATTATCAATTTATTATCAAAATTATTATTTATTAGTAAAATTATTAAAATTATTTAAATAAACTTAAATAATTTAAATAAATTTATTAAAGTTAAATAAATTTTTTTAAAAAGGACTTATTAAATATTTTATATAATTATAAAACTAATTTAATAATATATTTTATAAATTATTTTATTATATATATTTATAGCAGGGATGGCGAACCTTTTTGAGACGTGGGTCAGATTTTGTTCATATTTTTTTAATACTAGCGCGTAGGTCACTAATGCCCATTTGCACCAGAGTTAGATTTAAAAATTTTTACTGAGTATTTTTAAAACTAAACATCTTTCAATTCAATTGGCTTATAATGGGTAAAAAAGGACGCTATGGAAGTCTCTTTCTACAAACATAACTGATTAAAGTGCATTTTATCCAAAGAAAGTGCTTTAAATATGGTTTTATTTTAGTTTTAGATTGTTTTTCAACTAACAAAATGTGAGCAAACTTATACACTTTATTTGATATTTTTGTAAACACTTTTGCTTTATTTCAAATACTACATACTTTCATATACATTTGCTGTTGTTTACGTAGCTTTGGAACCAGGTGTGTAGCTACCGCCGTATCAATGATACGGGGCCCTCAAGCTTCAGGGGCCCTAAAATGTGTAAGAAGAGATCGTAAAATATTGAGAGCCCACCAAAAAGGGACTCCAAAGAATTTGGATTCGGGGGCCACTCAGGACTAGCTACGCCAGTGTTTGGAACTGTAATGATCACACTGAAGGTAATAGACAGCATTTAAATTGCTTTTGTGTCAATGGGCTTGAAAAAATTCAAATAGAATATAAATAGTTCACACAAATTAGAAAATTTAAATAAACCCACATAAGTAAAACAAGTAGTTGCCTAGCAATCGTGGGTCAGTTAAAAAGCTTGCATGGGTCAGACACTGACCCACGGGTCATAGGTTCACAATCACTGATTTATAGCTTATTGTATTTCACATTATAAAACAATTTGTAACTAACTTAATAATAATATATTTTATATTTATTATATATAATAAATTTTATATTATATATAATATTTTATTTATAGTATATTGTATTTCACATTATAAAACTATTTGTAACTAATTTTAATGTAAAATATAATTTAATATTTATTATATATTTTATTTTAAAATATTATTTATTAATATAAAAATATATTTATAAAATTTAATATAAATATTTATATAAGGAACTAGTTTGTTATCCGGGGTAATGGCGCAATGCAGCGCTTCTTGTTGCTGGAATGGAATCCAATATGGCGGCCCAACGGTAATTTAATGATACACAATAATTTTAAAGAATTGCTTTGAAATACATTGAATGTATTTCAAATGAAGGATGTAGGAAGAGATTGAGAATAACCTAGATCGATCAATAAACAATGAATATCAACATTAATATAATATAAAGTAACATGTACTAATAATAGTATTATAAGCAGCGTATAATAATCTTATAATATAATTTTATCGTAATTATATATAATATTCATATAGTACGATTTAATAACAATTATTAGAGATAATAATCATGTGATATAATTTAATAATAATTATAAAAAAGAATAATCATCGTATTGTAAAAAAATTAAAAAGAATGCATAAGAATACTCGTATAGCATAATTATAAATAAATAACATAAGAATAGCTATAAATAAACAAAAAAATAGTAATAAATAAATTACATAATAATTATAAATAACAATAGCAATTATAAATAAATAACAAAATACGTAATATTTATAAATAAACATTAAAGAAAAAATTATAAATAACGAATATTATATGATTATTACACAAAGTAATAATTGCATTTTTATATTACATTATTAATAAAATAATTGCATAATGTATGTTAAAATTGATAATGAATATCAATTAAAAAGTACTGAAAGCTTGCAAGTTCCTTCAACGAATTTCATCCAAAAAAGAATGTAAAAAAAAAGAAACATTTTTAAAACGTAAAACAAAACGAAAATAAACGATTAACAGCGATAATTAAAAGCACAACACTTCTTATTTTAAGAAAAAAATATTCTAAAGCTCACTCATATTAGAAATATCCATATTCGAAAATAGCACAAAATGAAACAGAAGACGGAAACAATTGAATAATTAAACTGAAAATGGTTAAATTTTTAAAGAAATCGTCTGAAATTAATAGGGCTACCGTGGGAAAAAACCAATAAAAGTTATTTCTAATATACGTTATCCCCATGGCAAATACATCGATAGACAATAAAAATATCAAGGTAACCATATTGCAATGTTATCGCCCATCTTGGCGAACATAAACAACTTGGCGCTATTACCCCGGATATCAAACTCACACCTTATATAATTACAATATTTTTTTTACTTTCTAAAATACAAAATAATTACATAAAATATCATTTTGTATTTATATAATAAACCTTTCATAAACAATTTTATTCAATTTTAAAAAAATAATTAAATGAATTGAAAAAAAAATTTCATCTCGTGATCCGAACCCTATCCTCCTGCATTCCATAACTGGTAGAAATTTAAACTTAAATGTATAATAGCTAAGCATGAATTTCGAAGGCTATTTTCTCCGAATTGATTGGCCATTCGGTGGAATTACATTGAGGGTTGAACACCCTAAAGGAATACTACTATTACACCAAGTCTCGAACCCAAATGAATTTCCTTAGTAGTACCCTCCCCTAGTAAAACTGGAATCTATAACTTGACAGCACTGGAAAGGAAAGCTTATAAAGGCTTGTAGCAAATAAAACACTAAAAGAGACCCAAAACAAATAACATGAAGGCCAACTGTGGCTGCTATTTTTAAATTTATAAACAGGAGGCATAACATTAGATTCATAAATATAGCTTGTAAATCTATCTCTATTCCGACAACTTTTATATATTCAATTGAATGAAATAATTAACCCACAATGAAATCCAAAAACATTTCCAAATCCAAAGGGTACCCCTATTCTACACTTTAACCAAAGAAAGGAAGAAAAAGAAGGACGGAAAGACAAGTGTAAAAATAAAGAGATATCTAGGGCATTCCAAGGGTGTGTCACCCATGCTAATCAAAAACAGCAAACCCCATGTTAATGAAGAAGGATACCATGTGGACATTTCAGGTACTAAATCTCATTTTTCCTAAAGAAAATTGTAAGTTTCTGAAGCATAAAATTTTCAGCGATAGAACAGCCTTTTAAATTAAAATAATTTTTTTTAAGTAGAATTTGGAGGAGATATAACATAACTAAGTACACATGCTTATAATTCAAATGGTACATAATTGTCAACTATAATATTAAAAAGAGACCTAATACAACATATAGTTTCTAAACAATTTGTCATCAGCAATTGTTTCTGAAATTTTTACTTTTGACTCAAAATTAGCAAAATTATTCTAGGTTTAAGAAATATAAATCTAAAAATAAAATCTGGATGCATGGAGCTAATGAAAATATGTGTTCCCATTTCTAAGATGGTAAGGGATGAATCTACTTTTGTATAACATATTTCAACATTCTCATTCTTGTCATTTACTATAAAAAATATTTTTTAATATTCTAACACTATCACAATCAAAGTTATATTTCACAAAAACATTTTATAAATTCTAAAATTAACTGAAAATTATTACCTGAATCTTCCTCTCATAATATAATTTATATATTTTTTAAATGAGAGTAATTAGATATATATTTAATTTTCCACAATATTCAAAAATTCTAAGAAATATTACAAATATAAATAAGCATATTACAATAAATGTTTCTATTTAAAAAAATTATATTTCTCAAATACTTTAATAAATTTTTATGGTTGATTTAGCATTATGACTTAACTAGCTGCATGGCCCGGCATTGCACGGGCTTTCTCATTCCCTCATGATGCCAGCAATTATGTGTGTGTGTTTCTACGAGTGCAATGTGAGTTATTTCTAAAATTATTTCATTAAATTTCCCTTTTTCGAAATTTGTTCCACATATTTTCGATTTAAGACAGGTTTCTTTTCCTTCTCTCTAGCCCGGCATAACATGGGGTGTTTTTTTTTTAGTGTAAAATTATTGTTCCCTCTTCCCCTCACTCTCACAGATAAGATATAGCTTCAAATTTCGATGCCTGACTTATAAAAAAACAATATTGCGTTAGTTAAAAAATTATTAATGTGAAGCAATAAAAAGAAAACGATTCTGATGCTAAGAGTAAAACAAAAAAAAATTCCATCATTTTTTTAATAATAGTTAGTTTCTAAGAAACTAAAATAATAAAATAAATTTCAGATTTTATTGAATCAATCAATCCTTACATATAGTTAAAAATGTCTCTAAAATGTATTTTTATCCAAAATAATAGATGAAGCACTTTTTTTAATTAACAAATAATTAATTTAGTAATGAAATAGAAATAATCCTTTTGAAAAAACATATATATATAATTAAAATCCATTTTCTATAAGTAATAAAAAGAAAAATTTGCAGATAGCTATTGAAATGATTGCTTTTTTTTAATGCTTGAATAAACATATATATATATGTAAGTTATAAAAAAACAGTATGGGGGAAAGCCTAGATATATATCTACCACATGTACTGAAAAACATTCAAAAAGAAAAAAAAACTATCTGATAAAAACATTTTTTTTTTTATATTTTAATTTCATAGTTTTTCATTCCACTGTCATTGTTACAAATTTTGTGTAATGAACACTTAAAATAGTGTAAATAATTTATATCTGGAAGTGTAATACATTAATATTACTTTTTGTTGTATTTATTATATATATATTTTACATTAAAATCTTGCTACCA